GTGTGTGTGTGTGTGTGTGTGTGTGTGTGTGTGTGTGTGTAAGACAAAATCTAGCATATCCATGCATACTCATTCACATAAATAATCAACGCTCCACATTTGGTAGGATCTAACATTCAATCCATCGTTGATGCTTGTGCGCACTATTTGTGGATACTTTCGCGAAACGTGCCATCTATAATCGAACGCAAGTGCTGCTTCAATCATTTTCAGTGGAAAGGCCGTACTTGGACAATGCTTCTTAATTTCTTCACTTTATCAATATCACTATATTCATCTCTTCTTCTTGCTCGTCTCCACTTGCTTAGCCTCTTTCTCTAGATCTTCGAGGATGTCTTCCGTCACTTCATTGAATTGCAGCAGCAAGAAACATACCAAGGCTGTATATGTCGACGTGCAAATGTAGTCAATCGATATTTTCTAAAGCAAGTTCCACCATACGATAGCTGAACACAAAAATTTACAAGTATGGATTAAAGTACTCCTAAATAAGAAGGGGAAAATGTGTACAATAAATAAACACCAGGGGTGGTCTCGTATACACCCTATATTTGAACAAAGAATGCATACAAATTGTATGTGGCTTCGTTGATAGTTGTATGGAATACCTGCCTTGTAGTATATATGTATATGAATGGCGTGCGTATATGAAAGCTTCTAATCTGCAACTCTTATCGCGTAAGACCTTCAAATTCGTTCAGCTTTCTGGGTTAAATGGAACCTATGGTTGTCTTAATCAGAAGATACTAAACTGAAGAATAGTCCTCAGAGATTAGAAGACCTAGCCAACAACAAATATGCTGACAAGAGCTCTGCGACACTCCAGCTACGAGGTACAAAAATCACAATCAATAGCCACATCAAAAGACCTCGAATTCAATACACATGCCACAAAACTGTATACTCACCAGCCGCAATCATCAGGTGACCACGTCCAATGATACTCAAATCATCCACCATCAGCATCGGATCTTCCAGGCCACTCTCAACGACTCGCTGTTGTGCGGTTGTCACTATGATCGCGAAATAGGGCACTATAATCGCAAGACCAGCTGCCATCACAAGGTCTTTGTAAGTACGCGTTTCCAAGGCAATACGCTTCACGATGACCGCGATCATCAGTACTATGAGGCCAGGTATAAAGGTCTTCGACAGCCAGGATTGACAAGTTGAAACGTAGTATACAGTAGTCGTGCGAATCTGCTGCTGAATCACTGGATGCGTATAGTCTTTCACACCTACCATGCCCAAATTGGGATGCGCAAGTGTTAGACAAGAATGTTTAAGCAAGCTCACTAACAGCTCAGAACATGGATTGTATGTACTGATGAGATTCAACGTTACTGACAAGTCTTATAGATAAAGCATCCTAAACTCAATTCCCTATCTTGAGCCCCGAGTGTCAGCATAGGATATACAAACTGGGATACTAGACATAGAACACAAATTTTGAATTTATAAATATACATATATATAAA